CATCTAGATATCCATCCTCAGGTTAAGAACAAGAACAGGGCCTTTGAAGATGTGGACTCTTCCCTAGTGCCCTCCATCTCCCCACCACCCCTCGAGCAAGCTCACGGTGTTAGGTGAGTTGTTCAAGGGTGGTGCCAGGTAGGCTTGCTCCCCTGGCCTGCTCCCCAGGATGCTGGTCTATCCTCAGCCCACCACCGCAGTGCCAGTCACGTGTGCTGCTGGAGTCATGTAATTTAATTAAATGTTATAGAATCTGATGCAAAGTAAATGTGTAACAGAAGCGGTATTTCTGTGAAAAAAAAGTTAAATGCTTTGGAAAGACTCCAAGGAAAATTCTTGAGAAATTGATGTTGAATGAGGCAAATTGACCGTAAGAGATTGAGAGGAAAGGTTGTAAAATCTAGGATGGCTGGAGGAGTCCACTTTAAAGAAACAAAGCTAAAAATGACAAATTATGTGTTGTGGATGGGATTTATGCAAAATGTATAAAATGAAACTCCTTTAAATGTAGATCTGGTTAGTGGACCTATGTTTAAAGAAGTTTGCAGCTTGAGGGGTAATTGTGTATTTTTACATTCTGTGTTGCAATGTTTAAGACACATGTCATGAGTCCCCTCTTAACCAGTTTTTGGCGTCATCAGTTGTCAGTCTTGTTTACCTCAGACAGGAAACCTTTCACCAATGTTTATCGCCCCATTTACAAGACAAATTATTTGTGTTATACCTAGCTGAACATCATTTAGGAATAATTTGACCTTTTTGTTATAAATGGTTATAGTTAGATTTTTGTGCATTAATTTGTCATGGGAATAATTTTTCTTTTTATAAAATTTTTCTGTAGTACCTGACTCTGCAGTATAAGGTTACAGTGCTGAACTCTGAGAAATTGTTTCTTAAAGAGCTATTGTATTTCCTTGGGACAGAATAATGATTTTAAAGGTATCCAGAGAGGTAAGTCCCCCAGACCATTCTTGTCTTGCCCCCCAGGAAGCCACTATTACGTTCTTTCTTATCCTTCAGATTCATGCCTTTAATGCACAAGTAAGCCAATACAAGTGCACAGGTTTTCTTCTATACAAATGGAGGGATAGGATACTCACATTCTGTTTCTTGCATTTTTATTTTGCATGCATTTTTGGAGCTCTTTCATATTAATATATAAAAAGATTCTGTATTCTTTTCTCGTGATTTTACTCAGGTTCCATTGTATGAGTGGACCGTAATTTATGTCACCAGGAACTCAGAATTTGTGACTCAGTGGTCTGAGTTCAGACCCAGCTGGCTTATAGTGTTCTAGAAAGGTAGTGTGGTTATTCCTTCCTTGCACGCATATTTTTTGAAGCCTATGATTGTGCCAGAGGGAAAAAACAACAAAATATAAAATATATGCTGCCTTGATGGCGCTTTCATTGCAGTTATAGAGAAAGATGGTGGCTATTTTAATAGGTGGTGCATAGCCTGTAAGAGTGAGATTTGTGCTGTGAAGGGGAGAGGTGCAGGAGTAGTGGCATGGAGAGTGAGGTCTGGCTGCTGGGAAGGTTACTTTTTTGGGGAATACCGGGAATCAAACTCAGGACCTTGCACTTGCGAGGCAGGCAGCGGCGCCACTGAGCTAAATCCCCGGCCCCGGGAGGGTTACTTTTTAAGCAGGAGGTCAAGGCAGGTCCATCTGAAAGCACACAACCTAAAGATGGGTGAGGGAGTGAGCCACTGTAGATGTGGGGGAAGAGCATTTTGAAAGAGATGTGCAATGGCCCTGTGGTAGGAGTGTGGCTGTAGCTGAGAGCTTTTTCAAGGCAGTGAATCTGAAAAGCATCTGCCTTCTCGTCCTGTCCTCATCAGGCTGTCTGTGTGATGGTCATTGACCATGAGCAGGATGCCCTATGATGGGGGCCTGTTGGTGCTTTGGTGCTGTAGGGCTGGTGATTTGTGTGACCTGAGAGAGGTGTGGGAGGCCCTGTGCCAGAGGCAGCACCCGTCTCCTGCAGCTCTTTGGGAAAAGAGTGACCTCGTCTGTGTGCACTAGGGAAATGGGCAGCTTTGGAAGATGCATGGGCTGCATTTTCATGGTTAATCTTCATGGTCCACTTGAGTGGCTTGAGAGATGGCTAGGAGATTAGTAAAGCACATCATGAGGCTGTGACATTGGGAACTATATCTGGTCCCTTGCTCCTTCTTCTCTACTCTTTCCCCTTTGCTCTGCTTCCTGGCAGCCATGAGGTGAGCAGCTTTCCTCCCTCATACCCTTCTGCTGTGATGTTCCTGCCTTGTAGCCAGCTGACCATGGATTGAAACCTCTGAGCCAAAATAAACCTCTCTTCCTCTAAGTTGTACATGTTGGGGATTTTGGTCACAGCAACAAAAAGCTGACTAATATGTGCATTGTCTACTCTGTGGCCAGGAAGTCACAGAGGGGCTGGAGCCCTGATGGTGAGATGGATTTATACCTCTCACAAGTCCCCCAAAGCCTAGGTGGCCAATGGCCTCAGGAGTGGAAAATTTCACATCCCTCTTGGTAGCCTCAGGGCTGGGGACAGCAGGCTTGGCCAGCCCAGGCAGCATTGCCAGGGCCTGAAAGGTGAGGTTTATGTGCAATGTAGACTTAGTCCTTTGTCTCCAGGAAGGCCGCAGCCACCTCTTCCCTGTCCTGGGCACTGCACACAGGCTGTGTCACCCTCCCAGCGCACACTTGTATTGGCACCAGGTGGTCACTCCTGTCTAATCTTTTTTCTTCCTATCACAGTGTGCTTTCAGCAAAGTAAAAAAAACCCATCTTACTGGATTGTGTCCCTCTTCCAGTTGGACCCTGGCTGGATCTCAGCCCCCAGCAGTTTTAGACTGGAATTGGAGGCCCTGGAGGTCCTGTTCTCTGGGAAAAATAGCACCCTGGAAGAGAGCACCAGGCTTCTCTTTGTTAACTGGTCTTATGGCTGTTGCCATCTCATTCATTTGAGATGCTGGTGTCCCCTAGATCTGGTGTCTTTCAGACTTGGTGAAATGGGCACTTAGGGCTGACAAGAGCCATGGCATATGCTATTAGAACCTCAAAATAGCTTTGGCTGGGCTGGAACTGCCTTTGCCTCAGAAATAAATCGGTGGGCTTGATCCCCACAACCTGCTGCTATTCTGCACACAGCTGAGTTTGAGTCAAAATTCAGCTGCAGATGGAACAGAAAGACTTTTCCCTGAAAGCCCCCAGTTAGAATGTGAAAGGCTTCGCAGCTGAAGCCAGAGTTTTCCACAGCAGCTGTCACAGCTTGGGCTGCAGTTGAAACTGTCAACATTCCTGTCATCTCTGTGTTGGAAGCTCCTGAGGCCCTGAATGCCTCTCACTTTGTAGTAGTGAAATGTGAGTTCCAGAATGGACTGTTGGTGTTATTTTTAGGCCACGATGGCACTTGGCATGACTCCTTCTGGTTACAAGCACTTAGCTAATCCCCGGAGTGCCCTGGGTAAGCATCTCTGAGTAGCTTTACCCACGCACAGGTCAGGAGGCTTCTGGAAAACAAACACTCCTCCTATCACTTGGAGGATGTGGGCCTCTGGTCTCTGGTTGGAGATGTGGGGAAAGCTGTGGCTTGTGGCTGCACGCAAATCTGCCCTGATTCTGCAGCTCATGACGGCTGTCCTTCCCATGCGCAGCTCAGGATGGGCAGCGGGAGCCTGAGCTCTGCACCTCTCCCTGTGGGATTGAGCCAGGCTCCTGGACTCTCGGGCTCCTTCTTTCACACATGCCCTTTGCCCTGCATCCTGGTGCCCAGGTGTGTGTCCCGCTGAGCATGTATGGCGGGTGCCTCCTCTCACCAAGCTCCCTGCTCCTTGAGGGATGCCATGGGCAGCTTTACTCACTCTGCTAGCTTGCTGTATTTTTATATTTTTTCCTTAGTTTTCTTTAGTTTCTGCTTTATACATATAATATATGAATTTCCATTGTAAGAAGTGTGCATGACATACATAAAGATCTCTTGATTGCCACCACTAAGCCCAACTCTGACATGGGGGTGACCTCTGGGATAGATTTGGGGTGGATTCCAGAGTTGACATTCCTTCTTGAACAGTGTCTTGCACACTGACAGTGATCGGATGCGTAACAGTGTGAGAGCATGTGGAGTGTGAGGGGCCCAGCAGAATTTTCCTGGCGGCTCATTGCTGTAGCCTGCTTGTAGGGAGCAGCTGGAGGCATGCCCTTTGGGGCCAGTGCAGGGGGCCATGTCACCTGCTCAGGGAATCAGTAGCAGTGCCCAAGTGGGGACAGGGCAGAGGTTGTGTGCTGCTGACACACATGGCCCCACGCCTGCCTTCTGTGTGCTCTTGTTCTCCCGTGCCGACGGGTAGTGAGGAGAGCCGGTGTGTCCTCAGGCCCTGCACCCACATGTGTGTCTGGGAATGTCCACTGTGAAGTCTCAAGAGATCCTGGGCACATGCTCTGCTTCAGTGCTGGTCACAGATGTGGCCTGTGTTGGGTCTCACTGCATCCATGGATAGATAGGACCTTGCGCAGCTGTTCACTGCCTGTCAGTCTCAGCTTCCTCATCTAAACCAGTGAAGAGCAGAGCTGCTGAGCGCTGGCCGAATAGTTTTCAGTGTTAGGAAGCAGCCTGTGCATGGGGAATTGCGTTTCTGTTCTGCCCTCTGTTGCTGCACATGCTGTTGTAGGGAAGAGAGGAGAGGAGTCAAGTCCTGCCAAGTGTAGTCTTGGTGCTGGGGATTGGGTGGTGTTTTGCATATGTCATTTCATCAGCACCGTGACACTGTGTGTTGTGTGTCATCCCTGTTTTTACCAGTGGGATAAAGTGAAGGCTACTGAAAACAGATAGCCCATGTGGTATGGCTGGTAGCAGGCTGCACTTGGACCCAGGCTGTGGTGAGTGCTCACAGAATGGACTCATCCTGGTCTGAATCATCAGTGGCTGGTATGGGTCCTGGCCCTCTATGTTGTGTGCAGGCCTCGGTTCACTTCTGGGACAGCTGGAACTGAACATGTCTTCTTTATCCCTCAGGAACCCGGAAGATCTTTCCAGATTCATTGTTGAGCTGCAGCAGCGAGAGCTGGCCCTGAAGGAGAAGAATAATGCCATCACCAGCAGGTAGGCTGGCTGCGCACCTGTGGGCACACATTTGCTCTGGGTAGTTAGGATGATGCAGACTGGTGCCTTCCTGGATCACACAATGTATTAGTCCGTTTTTCATTGCTATAATGAAGTTCCTGAGACTGGGTACTTTCTAAAGAAAAGAGGTTTATTTAGCTCATGGTTTTGGAGATTGAAGGGCATGGTGCCAACATGAACTTGCCTCTGGTGAGGACCTTGTGACAGGTGGCAGGGTTTGTCGCCACCTAAAGAGAGGGAGGGACCAAGTGTCCTCCCTTCACATCAGCTCTCATGAATGCTAGCCAAGGGGCCTGTCAGTTGCCTGTGTCCCTTCTGGGGACAGCATCCTCCGTGACCTGTGGACTTCCCATGAGGCCTACTACCCAATACTGCCTTAATGAGCCCCTGAGGACGCACTGAAGCATGTGCAAACCATACCACTTGGGGATGGCCACGGGGTTTGCCTTGGTCAAGATGGTGGGAGGTGGGGGTTGGGGAGGGATGTTGCCCAATATTCCTGCTGTGTTGTGGGAAGACTCAGCTTAGGCACTATAGTAATTGTGACACTGTGCTGAGTCGCCTCTGGGTCCCTGGTTATTGGCTTCCTGGCTGGTTCCTCTTGGATGTGGAGTGTTCTCGTCTTTGCAGCAGCCTGTGGACTTCATCAAGCGTAGGAACCCAGCTCTGGGGAGTAGGTCTCTGTGTAGACTTGTGTCCTTATGGAAGGCCTGCAGACAGTGTTCAGCCTCCTGACCCCCTTGACGTGAGTGACAGGCATCTCACCCAGCTGGTTTGAGCCATGTGTCCCCAGCCTACCTGAGAGGGGCAGCTGCAGGGCTTCTTCAGGGCATGGTGTTAGGGTTCCCTCCTGATACTGCATGTGTGGTATCTTTTTCCAACAAGTCTTCTCCAGCTCTGACACCCTCTGGGTGTCTTAGGGTTCTGTTCAATTCAGTTCTGACACAACTGGGAATGAGAAGGTTCCAGGGCTTAGTCCCACAAGACCACCCCCTCTTGGATGCCAGTGGCAAGTAACAGATCCTTAGGTTGCCCACACTTTTGTCCAACTCCAAATTCAGGGCATCCTATGTCCCCCTCCTCAGATTTGATGACATCCTGAACTTCGGCAGGTGCCTCACTTACAATCCCTGATTTATTATGAACTCGGGAGGAGCCGGATGGAAGGGTCCACAGGACAAGCCATGGTAAGGGTGTGGTGCTTCCTGCCTGTACAGGTGTGTCCCTCCCAGCCCTCCCTGTGATCACCAGCCCTGAAGCTCCTGAATCTTGTTCAAGAGTTTTCACAACCCACTCTCCAGTCCCTGGTTCATTAAGTGAGGCTGAGAGTTCCCACCCTCTCTGAACTCTGGACTTATTGTAACCAGCCCCCATCCTGAGTTCTGCAGGGGGTTGTCCTAGGCCACTTCCTTAGCACAAACCAGGTATGCTCTAAAGGAGCTCATTATGTCACCCAGGGGATGCTGAGGGTTCTGTCAGGGTCGAGGACACAGGTGAAGTATGGACTGGGCTCTCTTCCTGTGCCTGGGCTGTCATCTCCTTGCCCCTCAGCTGGCTGCTCAGACTGGTTTCTCTCATGCCTTCAAGGTGCTGCCCAGGCTTGGGTGTCATCTCCACAGGTAGAATGGAGAGGCCTCTTTTCTGGAACAAGGAAACATTTTCTAGGACCCCCTCCCCAAATCTCCCACATTGACTAAAAGAGGGCCTGTCCCAGAGCAATTATTGACAGAGATGGGGTTGCTGTGATGAGCTTCAGGTAGTCTCTGATCCATGGTTGAGTCACCTATGATGGGGGACTGCTATGTGGCTTGGCCTCCTAAGGTGGAGCAGGGCCACGGAGAGGCCGCGTGCTAGTGATATGGCTGGATGGGCTGTCTGAGGAGCTTCTGGAGCCAGTCTGTTTGCTGTTGGTTATCAAACTGCAGCCTCATCCTCCCATAGAGATAGCGTTTTAATAATTTATTAATAGCCAGAAGGAAAGGTTTCTTATTTTGGGGGCTGATGTCACTTTGAAAATCGGATTTTAGAAGCAGCTGGCTATGTTGGACATAATCACGTCAATTTACTTTATAAAGCTCAAATGATAACAATTGCCTTTTGCTTTCAAAGCCACTGTCAGATAAAATGGGCATGAAAAGTGATTTGGAATTAAAGCTTTAACATTTTGCTAGGTGATCCTCTTCATTTTACTCTGACTATGAAAGAGAATGAGCTATCAATGGAAAAGAACCTTGTCTGCATCTTTCTTCCCCTAGACAGTAAGATATTTTCTGTATTTACCTGCTGTACTGGCAAGCCCAGTGTCCACCCCGAGAACCACGAGGAAGGGGGGACCCTCTGCATGTCCTGCTCAGCAACTCTGCTTGTGGCTGAAAGTGTGGACTAAACCACTCTTTTTCTTTTGGGTCAGTGTTGAATGGAGTCTCTTTCAAAGAGCCACCTGTGCCATGGGTAGGTGGTCTGTGACTCTAGGCCGCTGCCCACCTCTCAGGATCCCTGGGCTCCTCTGAGAGTCTGTGCAGCTCCCCTGGTTGAAAGGCGAGTTTCAGGGTATCCTATGGAAGTGTTCAGTGCTTCATACTCCTCTGCAGATGAGGCACCTGTTTTAATCACTTTCCATCACTGGGACCAAGTAACTAGCACCACACCTTAAAGGACGTTTCTTTTGGCTCACACTTTCAGAGGGTTCAGTCCACAGTCTGCTGGCTACAAGGCAGAAACAGCACGGTGGAAGGGTGTAGTGAGGGGAAATTGTTCAACCCATGGTGCTGGGAAGCAGAGAGAGAGAAAGAAGTGCGGAGCTGAGGATAAGAATATAGCCTCCCAGGCCCTACCTCCTGTCAGCACATTTAGCCATGAACTCATTAATGGATTCACTGATGAGTCTAATGCCCCCGTAATCTCCTCACCTTTCAGAATTCTCACCTCTGAACTGAGGGCCAACGTGCTTCTTTCTCGGTGGTGTTGCGTAGTCCCTGAGGAGCTGACCTGTGGCCCTGTCGCACGGGTGGTCTTGTCCACTGTCTTGTGGGGCTAGCGGTGGTGCCTATCTTCTTCACAGACGGAGCTGTCCCTGTCATCCTGGAAGCATTGGTGTGCTGTTGTACTGCTCTCTTGCACTTCACAAGCCTGTTTCTGGATACTTTCATTCTTTGGTATTTTGCCATTTTAAACAACACTATGGTAGACTTTCTGCAGCAAGGTCCTTGAACACTGACTTCCAAGGATGAATTCTGCAATGGGGTCCAGATGGCCTTTAGACCAACAGTCCTCAACCTTTTTGGCACCAGGGACTGGTTTCATGGAAGACAATTTTTCTATATACCAGGTTCATAACCATCCTGGGGGTTGGGGAGCTCAGCTTTAGAGGACAGGTGGTCTGTATCTCCCAGGGTGTAACTCCCTTCCCCCACCCGCCCAGCAGTAGAGCCAGTGCTGGACTCAAGCACCCTCATACGGTTCCCTCCTTAGCCCATCTGATGTGCAGAACCCCCACGTCTTCCTGCTCACCATCTCTGAACCATGCTGTGTGCCACACAAGTAAGTGGAAAATATAGAGTGAGTCCCATGGATCGGTCTCCTTGGGGTTTTCCCTGTGTCCCATAGCCTGGGTTCTATGGTCTCTTTGTGGTACCATAGTAGCTCTGGCCCATGTCCAGCTGATTGTGTCTTTCCACAGTCAGGGTTGGGAGTGGGGGTGGATGCTGCCTAAGGGCCATAAGGAGAAAGTACTTCCTGCCATTGAGCTATGTATAGCTTCACCCAGTGTTACTGGTGAAGCATGGTTCCTGACTCCACATTGGACTGAAATTGTCTTTTTTTTTTATAGTACTGTGGGCTATACCCAGGGCTTTACACATGGTAAGCAAATGTTCCACCACCGAGCTACAACCCCTGCCCTTTAAAAATTTTTTTCTTTTGAGATAGGATTTTGCTAAGCTGTCTAGGCTAGGCTTGAACTTTGAGATCCTTCTGACTCAGCCTCTTGAGTAGCTGGAACTACAGGCTTACACCACCACACATGGCTAGAAATGGTTATTCTTAATGCTTTGGGGCCCTTTGGGCTGGAGCCTGGAAGCCCAGCAGTTGGACTGGTGCTTCCTTTTGATCATGGGCTGGTATTTGAGAGATGGGAAACTTCCTGAGCCCTTCCTGATGGCAGGAGATGGGAGACATGCTCCCCTTAGAAGAGAGGGAGGACCTGGTGGTTTATGTCATTTACTCAGGTGCATTTCCTTATCTTGGAGTGGAGAGAGAGGTTCTCTGTAATACCCCTGCGTTTGCAGCCCCCAGTGACCTATGAGGACACAGTCAGTGTTGAGCAGGGTCCTTCGCTGGCCTTGCAGCTGGGGAAGGGGCAGGTTCTTGCTCGGTTGGACCAGGTGCCTGGCAGAGGGTCAGTAGAAGTCTCTCAAGGAGGTCTGTGTGTTGCTGTCACAAGCCCTCGGGCTGGGATCTCTGTTTCCCTTTCTTTCCTTCTCTCAGATGGCTCAGGGCACTGTCCATCACCAACATAAGTGGCTCTCAGTGTCTGTCCCTAAACCCACCTCACCTCCAGCTGCAGTCTGGGTACCACACGGGAAGCCTCACTCTTTCTGTTGCCTAGGCCTTGCTGTAGGTCCTCTGAGTGTGATAATGTCCCTTTTCTACGTTTGCTTGCTGTACCACCCACTTTCCGTGGGGCCAGACAGACACTCCCACCGTGTCTAAGGGGAACCAGCCGGTGTTGAGATAGGTGTTGTTGTCACTCCCTGTTGGGCAAGGAGCATCATGGGCCCTGGTTGATCTGCTAAGAAGCAGTAGACGCAGGGCTGGGGTGCAGACCTGTCTGTCTCCACAGTTTGAGGGTTGTTAGGGTTTATATCTAGACACCCCCCCCCCCGCCAAGCTTCATAATAGGGGATTTGGGAAGGTAACTGAATCATGGGTGTGTAATACTGGGTTAGTCCACTGATGGGTTTATAGCTAGGTGTGATGTG